CAGGTGCGGGGGTGTGCATGCATGCCCAAGATCCCAAGAGGAGAATGGAGGAGAAGGGATTGAGGCATGACCCTCCCTCCTGGGGTGTGATTTCTCGCTTTCTGGTTCTCTGTCTCTTCAGCGAGCACACCTGCCCTATCAAAAAATCTCTCTCAAAAAAAAAAAAGAAAAAAGAAAAGAAAAAAAGAAACATGGGGGAGGGAGTAGGGAATTTCCCAATGTCCTCCCTTAGATTGGAATCCATGCTGTTCTACTGTTTCTTCATGGTGATCTTGGGGGAGGGAGTCAGAAAGTCTTTCAGAAGCTTAACTATAAAATGGAGTTAATGGTTACCTCAGAGAGTGGTGGATTTGGGGTGAGATAGTTTATGTCAGTGTCTAGAACAAAACAAGTATTTTAAAAGAATGTGGCTCTTTTTACTTTCTTACTTTTGTCACACGGTGCATGTGCTAGCCAGAAAGACAAAGAAAGCACCCCCAGTAGTGTGTGGTCATGTCACAATCCCTTCTGATCCCATTCTCCATCCTGTCAGGATTTGTGGCATACACATACACATATCTAGCATGTTTTCAGGTTGCTGGAGCCAGGATTCAAACCATAAGGTCAGCCATGCAGAATCCAGCTCCCTGAACCACCAGGCTGCAGGGCCAGCCCCCTCCCCCCCCCTTTTTTTTTGCTATAGGATGTATGCACTCGCCAGAAAGACAGAGACAGAGATAGAAAGTGAGAAATCACCTCCCAAGGAGATGGCCAACCTGCAATCCCTTCTCCTCCATTCTCCTCTCAGGATCTTGGGAACACACGCACATGTACCTGGTGTGAGTTTAAGCCACCAGTCCAGGGCTCGAACCATGGTTGACTGCATGGGAGTCCAACGAGGTAGCCATTATGCCAACTGTTGGTCCCCAGCCCTCCTTTTATTTTCCAAGTAGTAAGTCAAATGAATCACTATTACGTATGGTGATTTCAGGGTCACAATTATGCTTTCTTCTCCTACGCATTAGGAAAAACTGAAATTGGAATTTCATGGCTATTTCCATTTAGGAAGTATCTTTCCTTGTTAAAATTTTCTATAGGGCATGTGTGCTTGCTGGAGATGGAGACAGAGAGAGAGGGAAAGCAAGAAAGCACTCCTTAAGGGGAATAATCACACCATAATTCCTTTTCCTCTGTTCTCCTCTCGGGATCTTGGGCACATACCCAGCATGTAATTTCCAACATGCCCAATCTGGGCCTCAAACTGTGTAGTTGGTCAAGTGGTAGCCAGCTGCCTTAATCACCACCCCCTGGCTAACCCAGTTTTGTTTCTTTTTTAAAGTTTACATGCTCATTTTTTGAGAGAGAGCGACTGAGAAGGAAAGAAGCCCCAACAGGGTGTCACGCCATGATCCTTCCCCCAGCCTCTTCAGCTAGCCAGAATCCCAGGTGTGTGTGAAGTCACGGTGTGCAGGTCAACTCAGGGGCTGAACCTCAATCTTCCATGTGGCTCCACAATCATGGACTGATGCGCTACTACTGTGCCATTGCACCTAACTGACGAAGGCTTTTATTTATTCTTACTTTAAATTACCAGAGGGCACATGTGCTGGCCAAAGAGAGGCAGAGGAAAGAGAAAGCACCCCAAAATGGTATGTGGTCACACAGCAATCCCTTCTCCATTTCTCTATCCTGTCAGGATTTTGAGCACGCACATCCATGTGCCTGGCATGTTTTTCAAGCTGCCAGGACCAGAATTTGAATCCTGAACAGCCATGTGGGACTCAGTTCCCTTAACCATTAGGCTATGGGGCTGACCTAAAAGATTTTTAAACTATGAATTCCTTTAAATAAATGATACATTCAGGTGTATCATAGGCAGACCTAAAATTGTGATGGTGGTCCCTATGTGTTTAAAGTTTAGGAAATTCTTCCCTATTTTATTTATTTTATTTTATTAATTAATTAATTTATTTTTGAGAGGTTTTGCTACACAGCATGTCCACTCGCCAGAAAGAGAGACAGAAAGTGAGAAATCACCCCCCAGGAGGGATGCCATGCCACAATCCCTTCTCCATTCTCCTCTCAGGATCTTGGGTATGCACACACATGCGCCCGCGTGAGTTTAAGCCACTGGATCTGGGACTCGAACTGTGGTCCAGCAACATAGCCATTATGCTAACTGCTTGTCCCAATTCTTCCCTATTTTATATCATGGATGCCACTTCTTCATTTATAAATGTTAAGATTTCACCAATTTTAGTGGAAATCTGTCCTATGTAATGTGTTAATATAAAGAAAAAATAAGTTTTTTTTTTTTAATTTTGCTATAGGGCATGTGGTCTCACAGAGACAGAGAGACAGAGACAGAGAGAGAGAGGAAATGTGACGAAATATCCCTTCACCACAGAGAGGTAGCCACACAACAATCCTTTCTCCTCCATTCTCCAGGATCTTGGTCATGGACACACAAATGCCTGGCAAAGCCACTGGGTGCAGGATTCGAACTGTGCAGCTGGCCATGTGGGATCCAGCTTCCTTAACCTCCACACCATTTGCTGGCCCAGTAAAAGATTTTTTCATGAGTATTTCCTTGAACAGTATATGTAGTGTGCCAGATATATTTTCCTAATTCAACACCATGATTTACTACAAACAGAAATGAGGTAATTTTACTCAATCCTTTAAGAAAATGTGGGAGCTATCTTAAAACCTTTCACAGAAATTGCAAAGACAGCATTCTGAATAAGGTTTTCAAATGTCTCCCATGGATCTGAGTATAAATCTCCTCTTTATAAAGAGAAATGTCAAATGAAAATTATAGACTCTCAGGGCTGGCAGTTGGCATGGTGGTTATCGGCGCTGGAATCCCACATGGCTGACCATGGTTCAAGTCCTGGACCTGGTGGCTTACTCTCTCACTTTCCCACTCTCTCTCTTTCTCACTTGCTCACTCTGGCTCTCTCTGGTCAACTTTAAATAAATAAATGAAGTTTAATTTAAAAAAAGATTATAGACTCTCATTGTCCAGCCCAGATAATAATGGAAATATTCACAATTCGGTGTGGATAAGGAACCTTACAGAGAGAATGGTTTCATGGCCTTACAGATGTGTTATTCAGCTACTCTACTAGTATTTTTCCTGTGCTGACAGGACAGAGACGGATAAGTGGTATTTGCAACCCAGGTTGCTAAACTAAGAGCTCAATTAATGAGACTTCAGGAAGGGTCCTAGCAAGATAAAAGTGTAATTGCACTCTGTTCTCTAACTGCAATCGCAGGTTCTCTTAATTTCTCTTTTATTTTCAGATTCGGAATATAAAGACATCGGACGGAGCCCCGTGAGATGGAAAGTTGTTTCACTAATAAACCTTTGTATGCATCTGGAATATAATTTCTTAAACCTAAGGCTTATATTATCACTATGGCTTATAAAACACATTTACACTCAGAGGGACCAGCAATTGGCGTAATGGCTATATTGCTGGACTCCCATGTAGTCGACTGCAGTTCGAGTCCCAGACCCAGTGGCTTAAACTCACATGTGTATGCCCAAGATCCTGAGAGGAAAATGGAGGAGAAGGGTTTGTGGCATGACCATCCCCCCTGGGGAGTGATTTCTTGCTTTCTGTCTCTGTCTCTCTCTGACTTTCTGGCAAGTGCACGCGCCCTATAGCAAAAACCTCTCAAAAAAACACGTTTAGACTCGGATTGCATGAAGGAGCCATGAACAAGTTGAATGTAGGGAATACTGTTAGTTTACAATTGGCCTGTTGTGAAGTTGTGAGGTCACTAGTTCTCGCACACACACCCCACCTCGCCATGTTCTTTCTTGTTTTTTTCAAAACTACACATGCCCTAGAAATCTTTAGGGTGGGCAAGATAGCAGTTCAGTTTGTTTGTTTTCCACGGTTGCTTCCACCGAAACGCCTCTGGCCTTTTCTCATCCAAACTCAACATACAGCTGTTTCTCTGATATTACCAGCATGACGCCAACACAAAGCCAAGAGGTCTCAATGTCTGTTTATTTGTTGCTTCACAGACTTACTCCTAAGCTCTGGGGCTGCAGGGATTGAGGCCACATGAGATTGAGAGTCCTGCTTTTCTGTGTGCTGCTGGGTAAGTTACTCCAGCCTGCTGGCATGCAGTTTATAAATGGAGAAAATTAATTACTGGCATCATTCACTTACTAAGAGCTCCTTTGGTTCTAAGTCATGATAATATATCAAGTAAAACTATAGAATTTTATACCTTTGGCCTTTGAAAAATGCTGATATGCTCCTTACTTGATGCAGAGATGGTGTTAAATGCTGAATGAAATGAGAAGCCAAAGGCAGACACTCTGGTTCATCTCAGTGACTCAGCATCAGTGGAACAGTCAAGTGGGTCATACATAATGTAAAAAGTAGACACCCCAGAGCCAGGGTGTTCTGCGCTTCTTTGTCAGTGTAAACCAAAGTGATACTTGAACTCTGCAAACAATTCCACACTAGAATCTATCTGAGAAAAATAATTAAATATGTGGCGATGTATCAAATCTGACAAATAGAAAAAAAGACTTGGTTGAGATAATTCACAGCCTTTTATTCAAGTTAATCCATTTCACTGGGACCAGCATATGTAATGGTTACATCGCTGAACTCCCATGTAGTCAACGGCGGTTCAAGTTCCAGACCTAGCAACTTAAAACTCATGCCAGCGCGTGTGCGTGCATGCCCAAAATCCAGAGAGAATGGAGAAGAGACTTCAGTGTGGCCATCCCTGGTGGCGGGGGGGTGATTTCTTGGTGTCTCTCTCCAGTGAGTACACGCATCCTATAAAGTTTCTCAAAAAAAAAAAAGATGAAGAAAATCCATTTCATTAAAAACCTGCCATATTGCTCCTAGCACTACTAATATTACTATTATTGTTATTATCCTATGAAGAGGATCATGCTTTTCAAAAATTTGGGTTGGATTTACATGATGCCTAACTCCCTGGTTAAAAATCTTTAACCTCTACCAAAAAGTAAGCTTTTAATTAAAAATGAAATAAGATAGATCTGTTTATGGACATTTATCTCCATTAGGAACATCTCATAGTCCACAATCTTTCCAGGTTATGCTTTCACTTGGGCAAGGGGTGTGTTTCTCACAAGTGTTTGTCTTATGCACATAACCTGCCCCCTTGCATCAGAGAATGGAAATGAGGACTAGTCCTCAGAGAACAAGCACGTGGTCCTTTAGGAAAGAGCCTTAATGGCTTCTAGGGGGGGTGACAAAGCCATTCTGCCAGGGCAAAGAAACAGAGGAACCTCTCCATCCCAACCTATCAGTACTTAATAAGGTACAACCAGCTGAATGGGAGAGGTAATAACTGGTTGGTTAATCCATGGGCTAAAATCTCTTGAATGGCAACGTCCATGTGTCTGAGTAAGCCAGGGCGAGAGGGAGACCTAGAGTCTGGACAAAGTGACAATAGAAAAATGTGAAAAAAGATGTAGGCTTCCCACCAGGGGACCCACACAAAAGTGGTACTATCGGTCCAAGGTGATCTTGTGCTTTTCTTTTGAGATGAAGGTATACTGGGTGGGTTCTGTAGTTTTCACATAAAAATTGGAATCATAGTGAACAAGTGGAAAGTAAAACGAATTTCCCTCTCTTGTTCACTATGCACTATAGAACGCCTGTGTGCAAGACAGTGGGAACAGGTGCTGGGGGAAAGTAAAGATGTTTAAGACATGGCCCTGAGCTGAAGAAACAATCAAGTGGTGGCCATCAGACCCCTGCACACTAGAGAGAGCACTGTGTCCCGGGGCTCCTGTGGAGACAGACTGCACTGGCGGGCAGCACAGGGAAGGCATTCCTCCATCTTCTCCCCTTGAGTCTCAGCCTGCCCCATTCTCAGCGCTTTCTTGTCTTCCTCGTCTTCTGTAGTTTGAGAAATGGAAGTGAGAAAGGATATGATCTTGCCTCACTGGCACTTAATAAACATGTGTGGAAGTGATGTACTGTGGCAGTATCACTTTACCTTGGTCCAGAAAGGTGGAAAACTGGGGAAAGGAGAGGTGAGGTGGGTGGTGGTGAGGATAAGGCGTTTTCACCAGAAGGTGGGAGCAAAAAATGGAGTCTATGGCTTAGCCCAGATGACAGGAGAGCAGCAGCACAGCAAAGGACCTCAAGAAGGTAGCTGAAAGGCCCCTGCCAGATTGGTTAGTCTGCAGAACTGGCAAGATGAAGGCACACCGGCAGGGTTCTGCAGTTTTTACATGAACATTGGAATGATACTGAATAAGTCTTCTTCTCTCTTAAGTAGCAACTAGTCTATTTAAGCTCAACCAGAATTTAAGGGGAGGGGGAAAGAGAATAACTAGAGGGTCTTAAGTAGCTTTGGAGTGTTTCTAAACACTTTCTGGAAAGTAGTAAGATCAAAGTAAACCCGGCACCATCCCAAAAAAAATGAGGTTGAATGTAAAAGTGTAAAGAAAGCTTTTGGATCTCTTTAGGTTTGTTTCCGGCGCTTCGGTCTATAAGCGATCAAGATGGAGAGAGATGCTATCCCAAAGAGGAAAGTCTGTAGGAACCAGAGTAGCTGAGCCCGACCATTTGTGATGCCTTTATACCTAAAAGAGAAAAAGTGAAAATTACACCCTAGAATTTTTAATCTTGTGGTTTCAATGAAGTTATTTTCTATTTTTCTTTTTTAAATGTATTCCTTTCATCTACTTTCATTGCATTTGTGTATTGTTTTTCACAGGCTTCTTAATTTGAATGGTTAGCTCACCTATTCTTCATCTTTCCTGTTTTCTAATAAATGCATTTTGGATGGAATCCTATTTCCTGAGAAAGTGTCTGGCTACTGTCCAGGAGACAGGGTTATAAAGCAGGTATTCATGTGATTCTGACGAGCAGACAATATGGCAATACATGTCAAAATTAGAAGTCTTCATTCTTTACTTTTCAAATTCCAGATTTAGGAATTTATTCTAAGGGAACAAATGCCAAAGTGAATCAAAGGAACAAAATTCATATTCAGTGTAGTGTTGCCTATCATAACAAAAAAAAGCAGAAACTTAAAGGTCTAGGGGTCCTGATGGAGGTACAGTAGTGGAATACCATGTTCTCCAAGGCTGACCCAAACAAGAGGGTTTGGGGTTCACTTCTAGAGACCTTCCTGAGTATGATGGCATGTTAGTGCCCATGGCCCAGAGGGTGGGTGGAGTGTGGTGTCAGAGTGCTATTGGGGTTACTGTATCTCTCTCTCTCTTGCTCATGGAAGAAATAAATTAAAAACTAAAAAAAAAAAAAACCAAAAAAAACAAAAAACAAAATCAAAACCAAAAAAAGTCTATCAAGCCAGGTCTGTGAATAAGACAGCTGGATCTGGGACCAGCAGATAGCATAATGATTACATCACTGGACTCCCACATAGTCAACCACAGTTCAAGTCCCAGACCTGGTAGCTTAAAACTCATGCTGGGGTGCATGTGTGTGCATGCTCAAAATCCTGAGAGAAGAATGGCGGAGAAGGGATTGCAGGGTGGCCATCCCTCTTGGGGAAGGTGATTTCTTGCTTTCTGTCTCTCTGTCTCTCTCTGTCTGACTGGCGAGCGCATGTGCCCTATAGCGAAAAAACTTCTCTTTTGAAAGAAAAAAAGATAGCTGGTGGGTCCCACATAGCTGACTACACAGTTGGAATTTCAGCCCTGGAGGCTTGAAATAAGACACACCAAGCACATGTGTGTGCATGCCCCAAATATTGACAGGGTAGAGAGGTGGAGAAGGAATTGTGGCATGACTATGCCCCATTGGGGGTGTCTCTGTTGTGTCTCTGACTCTTTCTCTAGTGAGTGAACATGCCCTCTGGCCAAATAAATAAATAGTCTTTCAGAAGAAAGAGATTCTCTAAATTGATTAAGGTACATCTGTATACTTTTATGCACATCCATATAATATCCATAATATTCATTGATTCCATGTATAGACACAGGAAAATAAGCATATATGACAATGTATGCAATTTATAGTGTATATCTACATGTATCTATACGATTATAACTGCATAACATTGTAATGATGTACACTAAACTATTTTTTTAGGTCTTGGCCATAGGGCGTGTGCACTTGCCACAGAGAGGTGAATAAGACAGCTGGATCTGGGACCAGCAGATAGCATAATGATTACATCACTGGACTCCCACATAGTCAACCACAGTTCAAGTCCCAGACCTGGTAGCTTAAAACTCATGCTGGGGTGCATGTGTGTGCATGCTCAAAATCCTGAGAGAAGAATGGCGGAGAAGGGATTGCAGGGTGGCCATCCCTCTTGGGGAAGGTGATTTCTTGCTTTCTGTCTCTCTGTCTCTCTCTGTCTGACTGGCGAGCGCATGTGCCCTATAGCGAAAAAACTTCTCTTTTGAAAGAAAAAAAGATAGCTGGTGGGTCCCACATAGCTGACTACACAGTTGGAATTTCAGCCCTGGAGGCTTGAAATAAGACACACCAAGCACATGTGTGTGCATGCCCCAAATATTGACAGGGTAGAGAGGTGGAGAAGGAATTGTGGCATGACTATGCCCCATTGGGGGTGTCTCTGTTGTGTCTCTGACTCTTTCTCTAGTGAGTGAACATGCCCTCTGGCCAAATAAATAAATAGTCTTTCAGAAGAAAGAGATTCTCTAAATTGATTAAGGTACATCTGTATACTTTTATGCACATCCATATAATATCCATAATATTCATTGATTCCATGTATAGACACAGGAAAATAAGCATATATGACAATGTATGCAATTTATAGTGTATATCTACATGTATCTATACGATTATAACTGCATAACATTGTAATGATGTACACTAAACTATTTTTTTAGGTCTTGGCCATAGGGCGTGTGCACTTGCCACAGAGAGACAGAGAGAGAGGCAGAGAGGGGGAAAGTGAGAAATCACTCCCCAGGGAAGATGGCCATGCCACAATGTCTTCTCCTCCTCTCTCCTCTTGGGATTTTGGGCACACATGAATACACATCCAGTGTGATTTTCAAGCTGCAAAGTCTGGGACTTGAACTGTGACCAGCCATGTGTGAATCCAGTGCCTTTACCACTATGCTCTCTGCCGGCCCTACATTAAACGTTTTAATAGTGACTATTTGGGGATTATAAGAGACATTCATTGTCAATTTCACATGCTTCTGAGTTTTCACCACATATATAACTTTCAACAACAAAAATGTAAAATTTTTAAATTTTTCCATAGCGTGTAGGTATTCGACAGAGAAAGAGACAAAGAAACAGAGGAAGCACCCCCACAATTGGGTGTGATCACACTGTAATCCCTTTTCCATTTCTCCATCCTCTTGGGACCTTGGGCATACACACACATGCACTCTGGTGTTTTTCTAGCTCTTGGGTTTGGGATCCAAACTACACAGTCAGCCATGTGGATCCAGATCCCTTAGCCACCAGGCCAGGAGGTGGCCTTAAAAATAGTCTTTTACTCAGTAATTTCTCATCCAGAAATTAGGCTTCTCTAGTTTGTAAAATGGTTTTCCCCCCAAAAGGTCCATGTTCTGGAAGCTTAATCCCCAGTGTAGTGGCTCCAGGAGGTGGTGAAACCTTTAAGATGTGGAGCCTAATGAGTGGACACCATCCAGTTGGATGGAGGAATGGGAGGGCCAAACACAGAAGTAGGAAATTTTGCTCCTCTCTTTTTCCCACCCTCCTCTCTGCTTCTGTCACCATGTTGTGATATAGCATAACAGGCTGCCCTGATGCCAGCCCCAACCACACGCTGAGACATTTCAGCTGGCAAAATCATAAGCTAAATAAACCTGCAGTCTTTATAAATCACCCAATCTCAGGAATACTGTTAGCAACACAATAATGGACTAACACATTGGTCCAAGGAAAAAAATAATAAATATATAGAAAGCTTATAGAAAAAAAGAAATTCATTAGAACCCTACTTATAATAATAAAACATTAAATGTGAACTGTTCATTGCAAGAAGTTTCAATAAATTATGAAATCTAGTTAGAGGAATAATATGAAACCTTTACAATTATTTCCTGGGAAGCTTATTTTTCTCTTCTAGAAGGCACATGCATTTGCCAGAGAGAGAGACAGGGAGGGAGAGCAGAAAGCATCCCTCAGTGGAGCACAGTCACGCTGCAAACGCTTCTCATCCATCTCTCCCTCCTGGGACTTTTGCCATGCGTGCACATACATGCAGTCAAGCTGCCATGTCTGGGACTCAAGTCATTTGGCTCTGTGGGATCCGTCTGCCTTAACCACCAGACCAAGCAGCCAGTCCGCCAAGAGATGTTTAAAAATATGGGAGAGTGCTTAATATTACATTATGATTATAGTGAATAAAAGTCAAATATATAGTCTAATCTTATCTCTGGTTAAAATAAGTTTGCCAAAAGAAAGTATGTGATTTTCAAACATGAAATTTAAGAGACTCCATATCAAAAACCTGATGGTGCAATCAAATTTCTGTTTAGGGCCTGGCACATAAGAGGGAAGTGTTCATTTTCTGCCACTTGCTTTTCTCCTCCAAGGTCATTCTTGTATTTATGTAGAACCTAGAATATTATTTTGTGCACACTGTTTATTGAATTAAAAAGTTAATCAACAGTTATGCATTTATAAAAAGAAATTTGCCTAAATGTTATGGTCATTCCTGGACAGTGGTATTTGGAGGCTGCAAATGTACAAGCCTTCATGTATTCATTGAAATTTATTTATTCTTTCATTCATCTTATAATTTAAAAGGAATACTTGTTCTGATACATGATGATCGATGGTATATTCCAACATGTCAGACCATAAAGAAATGATTTCAAGAACATTGTTATAGAAATATTTTATGCCTGTTCTCCATCTGTTCTTCAAAGAACTGTATAACAGGCTGTTAAATTTGAATGTTTTGGTCTTCAATAGATGCTCCAAATGCCAATAATAAAATAGGTGTCAAATATGCCTACATGTTAAGTTTAGGGCCCATAAAAAATACCTCTAAGCTAAGATTTCACTGAGAGGCTGAAGACATTCTTAGAAAGAGGTATCAGAGTGCTTTAGCATTTGCTATACAAGTCAAAGTCAGAGAGTGGTTACAGTGGAACCTCTTGGAGAGCTGGAAATAATACCCCTGAAATTTGGGCAAAGAATTAATATCTGATTTTAAAATATAAAGACTGGTTCAGCTCATTGAATGGGAGAGTAAAGAAATATGACTGCTCTGGGAACTGTACACACTTGCAAATTATCTCATTATAGGAATAAGAAAGCTGTTTGTTGTGAGCCATACAGATCTTACAGAGGGGTACTGGACATGGTAGTTTTAAAAGGAACTCTGCCCCAGAGGTCCAACTGGAAGGTAGAAGTAATCTAAGTAAAAGGGGGTAATTGCCTCCAAACACAGACAGTAGGGTGAAACAAAAGTGGCATGCAGCAGGTATTTCAAACTGTGCCTTGTCCCCCCTAACTATTCCAACCATTCCAAGGGTGTTATAAGCAACTGCTAGTAATGAATAAGAAAGAAGGTAGAATAAGAGAAAAGGTATCAGCTATATCTAATTGGGGTTATAAAGACTTGTAAAAAAAATAACAAAAAACATCCCAATTAAAAAGTTAAATAACTGATTAACACAAGTGAAATGTGTTCAGTTATAAAATATTTACCAAGTACTCCCTCTGTGCCAGGCTCAGTATTAGACAGGGGGATTCCAGCTTTAGCTTGGGAGTATTGTCTGTCTACAAGTGTATAAATTATTTAAAAGTGGCTACTCTCAACTTATATTAGACAACGAGAGAATGGTGATAAAGATCTATCACAAAGACTTACTTGCACAATACCATGGCATATAATGACTCTCCCAAATGAATCAACCAGGCAAGCCAAAACCTGAAGGAAAAAAAAGTTTGCTTTAAGGTGGTAGTTATTTGGTGATGAAATCTAACACAGAAACCTCAGAAAGAAAGGTGCCTTAATGTGAACGAGCACCACTCTTAACAATCTAAAGACAACTACAGGCCTTCCAGGTTTCCAGCAAGATCAGAGATACAGGTCTTCTTACCCATTGCGCAGGAGGGCAGAATGGTGGTCCACCAAATACTGAGTGAAGGAGCCCAGGAACCCAAGGCTCTGATAAGGTATACTCTGAGGCCAGAAGACAACCCACTGAAAGAGAACCAGAGGCACAGAATACCTATTAGATTACTTGGAAGATCAGCAAATGTTTACTTTTAGAGAGGCTATGAAATAGTACTGCTTCTATAAAAACAATTACTGGCTAACTGAACAAAATCTGGACCTTCACTCTCATTCTTGTCTTCTATTTTCTAAAAGCAACCCTATGAGAAATTTATGCTAAGGACACTACATGCTTATCTGACTCTGTACCCAGAGTGGATGATTCCTTTCTCTTTTTTTCTTTTCTTCTTTTTTTTTTTTTTTTTAAATTTGCTAGAGAGTGCCTGTGCTTACCAGACAGAAACAGAGAGAAAGGGACAAAGAATCTCCCCCACAAATATTAACAGACCATTGACCCATTGATAACAGAGCTCTTCCTACATCCTATTTCTGGTATAGTACCTTTTGGGTGTATATTAAGCCTCCTTACCTCTGTTAAATGTATATTCTTTTGCTGATCTAGGCAAATTTCCTTTTCCAGTCACCAATCTAAAAACTGTAAAACTCACCTATAACCTGCAGGCCCCAGCTTCCCCATGTCCTGCCTTTTGGGGCCAGAACAATTGAAAAAGTCTACACTAAAATCCAAACTTCACTCTCAAAAACATATAAAAGGAATCCCCAATATCTGAGCACCCTAAGAAAGACACATTTACCCTACTTCGGGTCGGTTACACATATTCCTGTTTAGAAATAAACCGCATTAAGGATTATTTCCGCAGTTGGTTATTTCCGTGGTCAATCATAACAGTGATATCTTGTCTATCCCTTTCTACCAGTGACATCCTACCCATCCTGTAAATTTATCCCTGTTTTCCAAGCAATCCCAACTGTCTCAAACATTCCGCTTCAGAAACCATACCCTGATTTGGCAGACCTCTGGCAGTCTGTCAACTTGCCTTTCCCTCTCCACGAGAGGCGTAGATTCGGTTATGCCATAGTACCGCAGAGCCGCAGACGCGACACCTGAAACTGAGCCCACCGAGCTTCCGCTTACACTAGTAACCTAGCAACCGCCCCCCGCGCATGCGCATAAACCTCGCACCGTGCCCCTCGTCCTACGAGGACCTGGTGGGCCCAAACAGCTCCTTGGTTCCGCCCCGCCGTCTCACCGCGAAGTAGCCCAGCCCCAGGACTGTGGCCAGAGAGGGCAAAAGTCTGGCTGTACGGAAGTAGGGAGCAGCTGCCCTGTAGTCTTCCGACTTCGCCATCGGCATCTCGAAAGACCTAGACACTGAGTCGTCGGCTACGGATCCTGGACCCACGTAGGCAAAGCCGGACTAGCCGGTTTCTCGAAGCCGCGAGTACCGGTCAAGACCCTGCGGGACTAGTGCGCTTGCGTCTTCCTCCCGGCCGGCTCTGAACGCGCTTGCGCGGCAGCTCCTCGCCTGTGGGCACAGGTGGTGGTTAGATGGAGTAGTCGGCCTGCTGCTGCGCTTACTGTGTAATATCCGAAGGAGAGAGTGATGACCGTGAACCAGAGCAGACTACCCGTCCGGAAGTAGGCCGCGTCGCCTGCAGCGGCCGCCATCGCTGCAGCAGTCCTCTACGCCGGAGTGGAAGCGGGGCGGGGCCTCGGTGAAAGCTAGTCGGTCAGAGCCAGCTGTCCCCTGGGCGGGGGGACTCGGAGAACGAGTCTCGATCTTGCTCCGCCCTGGTAGAAGGGTCTTAGAACCCTGCCACCTGGGTTCTGGCCTGATGGGCTGGTCATCATATTGTAGGGGAGACGCCTTCTCTTGAGTGTCAGTTTACTTGATACACGATTAAGATACTGGAATGCCTGGAGTTTTACCGCTCCAGTAACCCGGAGTCTGACTTTTGAACTGTGTTGTACTATGCGCCATGAAGATGTATCAGCGCTTCTTTGTTTTTGAGAGTTTTGTTTTTTTGTTGTTGTTGTTTTTTTTTTTTTTTTTTTTTTTTTTTTTTTTTTTTTTTTTTTTTGCTATAGGGAGCGTTCGCTCGCCGGACAGAGAGACAGACAGAAAGCGAGAAATCACTCCCCCCAAAGGGAATGGCCAGGCCACAATCCCTTCTCCATTCTCCTCTCTGGATCTTGGGCACGCACGTACACGCACCCGTCTGGGACTCAAACCGTGATGGGCTACATGGGAGGGAGTCCAGCGACATAGCCATTACTCTAACTGCTGGTTCCCAGCACAGCGCTTTAAGCAGCGACTTTAGAACGCCCTGCCTGGGTTTAAATCCTGGCACTGCCTCTGCTGTTAGTGTAAGTTCAGACTACGTAGACTTTCTCTAAGAAAGGGGATATATTTGTTCTACCTCAAGGATTTAGGGATAAATTGAACGAGTTATAAACGAGCTGCAAAGAAAAGTATTCCCAAAGTTGGGGGGGGTGTACTCTTAACAGTGCCTGACCCAGAGTGCCTTGTAAGTTTTCAAATAAAATGACTAAGCCTTTTAGTGTATGTGCCAGGGCAGGTGCTAAGTGGGCTCCAGATTTTATCAATTCACTGTGGGAGACATATTCTGCTGAACTGTATCCGCATTAGTCTTTTTTTTTTTTTTTTTGGAGAGGTTTTCGCTATAGGGCGCGTGCACTCCCCAGACAGAGAGAGACATAGAGACAGAAAGCGAGAAATCACCCCCCAGAGGGGATGGTCAAGCCGCAATCCCTTCTCCTCCATTCTCCTCTTGGGATCTTGGGCATGCACACATACGCACCCAGCGTGAGTTTTAAGCCACCGGACCGGGATGTGAACTGCGGTCGACTATGTGGGAGTCCAGCGACATAGTCATTACGCTAACTGCTGGTTCCCTCCACATTAGTCTTCATGAAAGAAAGTCTGTTTCACACATGCCTTTAAAACTGGTAAAAACTAGGACCTTAGCAGTGGTTAAGGGAACCACATCCCCTGTGGCCAATTGCAGCTGGGCCCTGGCTTGAAAAGCACACCAGGAAGCCTTTCTGCGTGTGTGTGTGTGTGTGTGTGTGTGTGCACGTACACACGGTCGGGTACTGAAAATCCCAGCATAGAGAAGTGGGGAAGGGATTGTGAGTGGCGTGACCATTCCCCACTTGGGGGTGTAGAGTGTGTACTTACTCTGTCTCTCTCTGGTGAGCACATGCACCCTCTGGCAATTTTAGTTAAAACAATACCTGATATTTGCTGAGTGCTTACTGTGTCCAAGGCATTGTTCTAATACTATACAATAATTAGCTCATTTAATTCTCAAAACAGTTCTATGTTGTAGATTTGTCTTTATTAGAAGTACAGAGAACTGCCTTAAATCATGTAATACCTAAGGTAGAGAATACTGGAAACCAAGTGATGACCAAGTGTTTCAGCTCCAGCTAGGACCATGCCATCTGAAATATAGAACAGTTCCAGAACTTCTTCAGTTAATGTGGAAACCAATCCAAAGTTCTGTTTCTTGATTTTTATTTATTTATTATTTATTTTGTAGACAGTTTTTTTACTATAGGGCATATGCACTCACTGAAGACAAAGAGAGACAGAAAGTGAGAAATCACCCCCCAGAGGAGATGGCCCCACGCCGCAATCCCTTCTCCTTCATTCTCTCTCTCTCTCTCTCTCTCTTTTTTTTTTTTGGAGAGGTTTTTCACTATAGGGTGCATGCGCTCGCCAGACAGACAGAGAGACAGAAAGCGAGAAATCACCCCCCAGAGGGGATGGCCACGCCGCAATCCCTTCTCCTCCATTCTCCTCTCAGGATCTTGGGCACGCACGCACACGTGCCCGGCGTGGGTTTTAAGCCACCGGGTACGGGACATGAACCGCAGTCAACTACGTGGGAGTCCAGTGACATAGCCATTACGCTAACTGCTGGTTCCCTCCTTCATTCTTTCTTGAGATCTTGGGCATGCATACACACATACCCTGCGTGGGTTTAAGTTGCCAGGTCTGGGACTCGAACCATGGTCAACTACGTGAGAGTCCAGCTCTGTAGCCATTATGCCTTCTGCTGGTCCCTGTTTGTTAATTTTTAACATGAGTATCTTGGGCTGTACTTTTTAAATTTATTTATTTTATTTATTTATTTATTTTTTTTTTTAACCAGAGAGCTTGTGTGCTTGACAGAGAGAAAGAGAAGTACCCCTTCCACTGGGGGATGGTCACACCACAATTCCTTCTCTTTCATTTTGCCATCCTGTTGGGATTTTGGTCACACATACCTAGTGTGTTTTTGAACCTCAGCCTGCTGAGGCCAGGATTCAAACTTTGCAGTAGACCAAGTGGGATCTGGCTTCCCTTAACTTCCAGGCCATGGAGCAAGCACAGCCTATCACGTTATGAGTAAATTCCAGATGATGTGATGCAATCAATTTTCCAGATAAACCGTGGCGCCCATGAACACGAAGGTTACCAGTGACGCAAATAAGCCATGGTGCCTGTGAACATCAAGGTTACCAGTGATGAAGAATGTTTTCTTAGTCCTTACAGTCTGATCACACCACCCTTTTGGTTCTTCTCTCTCTGAATAATTCTCTGGGGAACCAGCAGTTAGTGTAATGGCTATGTCTCTTGACTCCCACGTAGTCGACCGCGGTTCGCGTCCCGGACCCGGTGGCTTAAAACTCACTCCGGGCGCATGTGCGTGAGTGCCCAAGATCCTGAGAGGAGAATGGAGGAGAAAGGATTGCAGCGTGTCCATCGCCCCTGGGGGGTGATTTCTCGCTTTCTGTCTCTATGTCTCTCTCTGTCTGTCTGGCGAGTGCACGTGCCCTGTAGCAAAAAACCTCTCCAAAAAAAAAATTCTCTGTAAACTCAGTTTTCAATTACTTCTTATCCCCTAGTTATGTTTTTCTTATTATCTTTCTCCTTTGTGTTTTCAGTACCTTTGAGGCTCATATTTTACTTCAACCTGGATGATTCTAAAACCATTTCTCCAGCCTTAGCCTCCACCCAGCTGATCACCTTTACCAAGTATCACACATACCTCAGAGACAAGAAGCCCACTGATAATATTCAGAGTCAGTCCTCACCAATACTCCCTTTTTAAGTTAATGGTGCTCTTCTTCTACCTTGTACTTTGTACCTGAATCCCTCCCTTTGGCTTCCCTTATATCTGGTCAGCCAAGAGTCCTATTGATTGGCTAATGTGACATCTCACCCATTTGGATTAAACCATGGTACATTCTCATTGCCACCAGCTTATTGCTTCCTATTTTCTGCCACTTCAACAACCCACCTTCAGCCTCTTTATCGAATCTGTCCTACATATCATAGATTTGTCTTCCTTAAGTATAGTTCTGGTCAAGCCTTTTACCCTACCAACACTTTACCCTACCAACATTTCCCTAATTTCAGGCTGTTTTTCGGTATGTCTCCAGATAGACATACTGCTCCCTTGTCTGCAGCAAGGGAGATATTGAGAAAATAGGTCAAGTTAGGGTAAATGTTAGAGAGGCAAAATGATTTGGATCAAAGACGTATAGGGAGGTCAGTTTTAGTTTCACGTCTTCCACCACTACGGTTCGACCTTCACGAGTTACAGAATTGTCATGTGTTGCCCACCCCCACATTCTTTATCATGGAGTGGAAAAGTAGTAAAATTCAAAATCAAAGGATCTTACTCTTAGCACGTTGTACACACGTGAGGAATCCAGAAAATGGTATCAAAAAACTATACTCAAATCTTAGTTGTTTATGTTAGTTCGTGAGGAACTTAATAGGCAACTGGGTTTTCAAAAGGAATCTCTTCTATCCAACTCACCCCTTCCACATGACAGGGTAACTGAATTCTCTAACCTTCACATACTATACACTATCATCCCTCTGGGTTGGCAGAGAAATCTTGCACCCATGGGTGCTTTCTCCTCTCTTGGGGGCTTATGACCTGAACATGGAAAACAATGAAGAAAATATGGGAGAGTATTTACACAGTCTTTAAGAGAGAGGAAGAGGGGCTGGCAGGTGGTGTGGTGGTTAAAGGCACTGGATTCCCACATGACCCATCGTGCTTCAAGTTCTGGACTCGGTGACTTGCTTTCTCACTTTCCCTTTCTCTCTGTCTTTCTCTGATCATATTTTTATAAATAATAATAAATGGAATTAAATTAAATAATTATTTTTTTAAAAAGAGGAAGAAAACTTCTCACAAGATTTTAAAAGCCAAAGAGAGAAAGATGAAAAATTTCACTGTATCCAAATGAAAAATTTCATTCTTATGAGAGATATCCATAATGAAAGTTGAAAGACCTGTAAGAACGAATTATAGCGAATAATAATAAATAAATAATATTTTTAAAAAATGGAACCAGCAGGTGGCATGGTGGTTAAGGTGCTGGAATTCCCACATGGCCGACTGCGGTTTGAGTCCTGGACTTGGTGGCTTGCTTTCTAACTCTCCCTCTCTCACTTTCTCTTTCTCTGGCAAAACTCATGTGAATAATAATAAATAAGTAAATAATATTAAAAAAAGAGAATGAATTATTTAACAGACAAATGAGTAAAGGGTATTTTAAAAATTATTTAATTTTATTATTTTTAAGACTCATTATAGGGCACATGTGAGAGAGAGAGAGAGAGAAAGTGAGAAAGCAAGCCACTAGGTCTGGGACTCAAATTACCGTTCTTGTGGGAATCCAACGCCTTAAGCATTATGCCACCTTCTGGCCCCATAAGTAAAGGATACTAATTAGACATCCTTAAAAAAGAAGACTTGAATGACAAAGAAAAATAAAGGATGTTCAATGTTAATGAGCATTTGAGATATGCAAAATCAAAGAAAAATACTGTTTTCTCCATAAGATTAGCCTACTGGGAATCAAGACACACTATAAAGAACTATGATAATTAAAATGTTTGGTATTTGACACATAAAAATCAGTGCATGGATCAATGGGGAAGATTAGAATTGAGATCAATCTGGTGTATATCCGAGAATTTACTATATTTTATGATAAAGGAAACATTTCAAAT